TATGGGTACTGGCCTGCGATGACCCAGTTATGCTCGTATTAACAAATAACAGAGTTGACACCCTTATGGTCATCTTCTTCTCCCCTACTCCAAGGATGGGTTCATGACCTGTTCTGACTTCTACCAATTTCATTCCTATAACGATCTGCCTGTGTCTTCTACCTCGCGTTCTACACATAAAGGCTTACTTTAGAATGCGTGTCAGTCCCATGTATCGAAGTCATTCCTCCCTTCACTCCCTGAAGTCAGAAAGATAGTATTTTGCCATTGATTGCTTGAACAATTATTTTTCATCTTATTTCGCGTCGCGCTTCTGACCTGTACTTCTATGGCGAGAGAGACAACTCGCATAGTCGAGGCTTGCGAGCACAACCGCATGGGTGGACAAATGAGCATCAGCACGAAGATTTCATTCGTTATCGAATCCCGGCAAGCGATTTTCGCCGCTAACATATATACCGCTAGTTCACGAGACAGTGCCTCCCGCGCTGGAGAATGGCCGGTCGTCAAACACATTCGTTAATTTGTTTTGGCCGTGTACAACGAATTCCGCTTGCTAGGTGCATTCCGAGAGCTGCACCCAGACTAACGCCCGCTCTCGGGCACTAGAACCGCAACACCTGCACTTCCCAACCGTTTGTTCCGTGTACAAACCGTGTCATTATATAACTATTTAATTATAACTGAACTAAAATATAGGAATATTTTGTTTCTCTACGAAAATCTCAATGTGTGTTTGCGTGAGAGAGTGTGTGTGTGTGTGTCATTTGCCTGTAATAGATCGAAAATGAAAACTGTATTAATTATTTACGAAATATGTAACGTAATTTCATCCTTTACTTTACGAAATCAAATCGTACAAAGAGAAATATCAAGATTGTAGGAAGATAAATCATGGAACTCTACAATATACCGATGACGCAGAAATCCTGGTGCCGGCGTGATTATCCCTTCTCCCTTGCGGTCGAGCAAGCAGTATATTTTCTGGAACTTTTGGATTTTTTTCATCTAGATCCTCCTCTGTTAAACAGGTTATATTATATTTAAAATATTTAAAATGACCATCTGGCCACATGACATACTTTTCAAGAAGTGTGTATAATGTATTTCCGTAAATGCCATTATTTTGGTCTTTGTATTTAAAATGTTTACATAATATTCTTTGTGATTTTGATGAAATTAATAAACAGACTTAGTAAATTATCTTATCTTTTAGGATCAAAATTATTTTTGTATGAAAGTTCACAAATATTACGCAATCACGTACCGGTCGTTTAGGAATTTGCCGCACATTTTTCCAGCATGTTATCTTCAGATACAAAAAGACGAACAGTGAGAACTCTTGGGTAGCTATAAATAATCTAGTGACTACATGATACAGTTACCATAGGGTACAGTGAATCAGAAACGAAATATAAGAAAGTTTATAATTCTATCTAAAGATGAAAAAGAATTCGTGCACACACACAGGGAGTGACTGACTGATTGACTGACAGACGGACGGACGGATTGACTCACTGATGGACGGACGGACTAACAGATGGACGGACTGACGGATTGACGGACGCACTGAAGGATGGACTGAAGGACGGACTGACGGAAGGACTGTCGGAAGAACTGACTAACAAAATAATAAAAATAATCAAAATAGACAAAATAGTTATAATACTCAGGATAGTAAGATCGACTTGTTGGAAAGATCCGTCAGTTGATCGACATGTCGGGTCGATTCCCCACTTGATTGACTAGCTGGGTCGATCCCCCACTTGATCGACATGCTGGGTTGATCCCCTACTTGATCGACTTGCTAAGTAGAACACTCACTTCATCGACTTGCTAGGTCGATCCCCCACTTG